TGACGTTTAAAGCTGATTTTTGGCAAACGAATTGACTGTGGGGTGTAGAGGTTCGATAAGGAGGGGTTTCTCGAATCTCAAATTCCAAGAGGGTGAAAACGTCCCTCAAATATTACAATATTAGTTATTTAAAAAACGGTTAGTCTTTCGGGAAAACGCTTGGACACGCATAATTTATTTTGTTTTTTTACATATTTTGAAATTTTTTAAAAAAATCATACAGGGTGTTCCGAAAAGTTGGGTACGGATTTTTCGAAAGTCAAATTCCAACGAGATGAAACTACCTCTCAGATATTACCAAGTTATATAATAATATAGCCATATTGTTTTGTCTCATGATGACATAAATGTGAGAAAATTTTATCCAGTTTGTATGTTAATGAAAATTCTTGCTTTGCTTTATCATCACGATTCCAAATGATTAATTCGACGCTAACGAAGTCGCGGGTACACGCTAGTTTACTCATAAAAATTATATATTTTGATTTTGAGGTATTGAGTTGAAATTAAAACCATAAACAGCCGCTACACTATCCCCAAAATGTTTTACGAAATATTTCTGAAAATATTTCGTGAAACATTTCGCAAGACATTTCTGAAAATAGTACGATAAATATAAGCCCGTGTTATAAAAATTAGTTCCCACGTTTCCTGAAATCGATCGAGACCCGCCGTGATTGGTTGTTTGTTTTTTATTGTTAACCCAGATTAACAATAAAAAGTTACATGGAAAAACTGATATAAAAACAGTTACCGATGATAAATTAAATTAGCTAGTCCTCGAAGGTTACAAAAGAATATTTAGTTATATTATTAATTACAATATCGTAAAAAACATATAAAACAGTAACTAACTAGCGGTCTACCATTTATCGGCTTATAATCGACGGTATTGCGCCTCATGAACAAAATATACACAAAATTAGTTAAAAAATCGTTAATATTTATTATTTCTGGTTATGGTAAAGTAACATTTATACTGTTGTCTGTGGCAATGTTTAATGTACGAATTTGGTTTTGTTTTTCTAGTTTTAATCGTCTAAATCCCTGGTATAATAAATATTAGTTGAATGGATTTATATCAAACCATCCTAGTTGCTAATAAAAGTATCGTTTGCTGATTTTTCTTAAGAACAATAAAAGAACATTGCTTTTAAATAATGTCCGTGGACCATACTTTTGTTGACATCGGGTCAATTAATAATTTTCACAAGCGGATATATTGATAATGTTACCAGTATTACTCATCAAGCAATACTACTGTTATATTAATCAATTAAGGCCGTAAACAAACCTAAAGGCCGTAAATCATAAAAATATTGTAATTATATTCATGCAGTTTAAGTGAAAAGTTTTCTTCCTAAATATCCACTATACATACAGGGTTGTTCACCACATACGACACGGAGTATTGTAGCTAAGCGGTGAGATTTTTACAAACTGTAAGTCTTGCGTTCGATTAAGGACTATTAGAGGTACAATTTAAAAATAATTTTACAAGATAGTGTCCCAAATAAGTAAAAAATATCAAAGTTGTATTTTTTTAAATTGAACACCCTGTATATTATTGCATTTTTAGTCTCCACGATTAAAATAAAGGTAAATTTGATTAAGGTTTATTATACTTAAACCTTACCGTTTTTGAAATATTTTCAATTTTGTGAAATTGCAGTAGAAATTTTAAGGCTTCATTTCTCCAAGGGTATCAAAGTTTTTAATACTAAATATTTACTGAAGTTTATTTATTGATCAGTTATTGTGGCTGGGTAACAATAAAATAATAATTAAGCGGTGAAATTTTTTTAAACTGTAAGTCTTGGTGTTCGATGAAGGACTATTTAGAGGTACAATTTAAAAATAATTATATAAGATACAGAGTGTCCCAAATAAGTAAAAAATATCAAAGTTGTATTTTTTAAACCTAACACCCTGTATATTATTGCATTTTTAGTTTCCACGATTAAAATAAAGGTAAATTTGATTAAGGTTTATTATACTTAAACCTTGCCGTTTTTGAAATATTTTCAATTTTGTGAAATTGCAGATGTACCAGATTTTTAAAAAGTACAGATACTAATATTGTGAATATAATTCGTTTATTTCATTAAAAATAAAAAAAAAATCGTTTAAATATTTATTAAAGAGGGCCAATTAATATGATTTCAGTATTCAAACTACATTAACTGACTGCGTTGATTAATAATAATTGCTCCAAATACTAAAAAACTGAATTTTGTATGGGTATTAGACAGTATGATAAAAAGTAACGCCTTAAAAATGATATTTCATTTTTTAATTAATGCTTATTTATAACAAAAGAGACTTTAATTTTGATAACTTATTATTATATTGATTTCTGACTCAAATCCACATTTATTTGGATAAATAATGGTGTTATATTTAATTAATGGTATACTTTTTATAGAGATTTAAATAGTTTTCTTTTTGCATACAACATTATCGTTTTTAGGAAAACGATAATATTACTAGAATGTCATATGAGGTCAATATTCCATAGGTGGCAATAATAAAATGTCAATATTCCATGGGTATATTGATAAATGAGGTCTAAATTATAAGAAAATGCATTTTCTACGAAAACTTGAAGGGATAGGTAAACATGGTATAATACAATTTGATAGACAATTAAATTGTGCATCTGATTCTTCTAAAATATACAGGGCGTTCTATTTAAATTAAAGAAGTTATTGGCGTTTAAAGGTAGAAATTATTTAAAATAAATTTTTAGACACTCTGTATAAAGTAGTATTATTTTTATTATTGCATCACAGTAACTGATCAATAAATAAACTTCAGTAAATATTTGGTATTAAAAACTTTGATACCCTTGGAGAAATGAAGCCTTAAAATTTTTACTGCAATTTCACAAAATTGAAAATATTTCAAAAACGGTAAGGTTTAAGTATAATAAACCTTAATCAAATTTACCTTTATTTTAATCGTAGATACTGAAAATGTAATAATATACAGGGTGTTCCATTTAAAAAAATACAACTTTGATATTTTTTACTTATTTGGGACACTCTGTATCTTGTAAAGTTATTTTTAAATTGTACCTCTAATAGTCCTTCATCGAACCCAAAACTTGAAATTTGTAAAAATATAATCGTTTAGCTACAATACTCCGTGTCGTATGTGGTGAACAACCCGGTATAATAAACGCGTGTTCAAATATTAATTCTGTGGAATATATATCAATATAACATAAAACGATTGAGGGAATATCATCGTAACAACAGCTACATATTTTAGAAACGTCTAGGTTTACGTATTTCACTGAGATTTATGAAAAAAAATCCTTTGCCTCCGGCACAGATACCGCCACGTTTTGTAAATAACTCAAATCAAAACAAAATTGAATGAGGCAACAAAAAACGCAAAAAAATCCCCTCTCGCCCTTACCACGAGTAGTTTTCAGGCGCTTTTAAAAATCGAAGTAGGTCGAAGCAAACCGAAGTGGGCCAAGACAACTAGAAATAAATCGAAATGCGTTCAAAGTTAGGCGACGAAATGTGACCTTGACATGTTTCGAATTGTTTCTGGTATAGTGTGTACGCTGTTTAAAACTATTGACGTAATTTTACTATTACTCGAAAGTAGATTTATTATCGACTTGGCCGTAAAAACACAAAAACTAGGTGACATTAACAACAGATCTTATCGGTATTTATGTGTACGTAAAATACTAATTGCAGTAAGAGTTTACTCACACAGCAATAAAGTAACATTAGGTATGTGTGTATAATAATTGAAAATTGCCTGACAATAAGTAATGTTCCATATTGTTTTAGTACTGTGACTAATTTCAAACTTATTGTTTTGTCGCGCATGTGAACTTCAAAAAGCTATAAAGATAAATAGATTTCGTAGGATAACATTTTACATATTAAATTTTAAATACATGATGCAGAAACCACTGAGTAAATTAGCAAATAGTAATATATTAGGCAATTAAAATATACAGTATGTCCCTTAGGGTGGGTCAAAAAAATCGACTATTTTTTTCACTTTGTACTAAAAAAAAGGTTGGTAGACACCTCAAAAAAATTCTCTTCAAGTATGAGCTCTCAATTTTAATAGGAAGGTTTGGTTTGGTTTGGTTGTAATAATAATCATATAAAAATAAGATAAAGTAAAAATATTTTATTATTTAAATTAATACAGGGTGAGTCTTAAGTAAGTACAAAATATTTTCAAGGCTGGTAGATCTCAATAAAAAAACATATTTTCTCTTTGCCGTTTTTCAAATAAGTCCAAAATAACCGAGTTATTTTGCTTTGAAAATTAAAAACAAATTTTGCTAAATTTTTAGAACCATTGGATTTTTTCTGTATGCTGTCATATCATGCTTTCTCTATGCTGTCATATTATCATGATATTATGTTTTTTAAGTGAAAATTAAAAAAAATCGAAAAATAAAAAAATTTCAAAAAAAAATCTTACACATGTTTCTGGGGTCAAAATAGAACACCCCTAAAATATTTGCACCTATTTAGCTCTCACCCTGTGTATTGTGTGGTTTTATATTGTTGGTTGACAAACAATAACTCAAAATAAAGAAAAAATTAAATTAAATTAAAAGCAAAATAAAAGACCAATTATTTTACTTTGAAAATTAAAAAAAAAATTGCTAAATTTTTAGAACCATTGGATTTTTTCTGTATGCTGCCATATCATGATTTCTATATACTGTCATATTATCAAGATAGTATACTGTCAAGATTTCTTAACAGAAAATTAAAAAAAATAGAACATTAAAAAAATCAAAATTTCCTTCTCACGAAAAAAACCCTCAGACGTGTTTCTGGGGTCGAAATAAAATACCCCTAAAAATATTTGCTCTTATTTAAGGCTCACCCTGTATCGTGTGTGATTCTATGTTGTTGTTTAACAAACAATAACCCAAAATATTAAAAAAAAAACAGAAGAAAATTAAAAGCAGAATAAAAGTCACTAATCAACAAAAATGTATAACTTACAATAATAAATAAAATTTTCCGAAAATATTTTTTGGAACAACAAGAACTAAAACTAAACTTCACAAACGCACAGGCTCACTGGTACTTTCGCAATAACCCCGGGCACAAAATCGCAAGGCATAAATACTGGACTGAAACGTTGTCTGTCTGTAACTCAGCTTTATCAATCGAATTTCCCAATCTACGTCAGAGTACGTCTACCGTACGTACCCTTTTTATGAATGGTAATGGAACACATAGCGTATAGCGTGTGTAACGGAAACTACTCAGTCATTTTTCGGCAGAAGTTCGCTTGCTTTTCTTGTTATTATTTGTACAGATGATGAGGATGATGTTTAATAAAGTTTCGCTTGATTAATACTGTTTTTTTAAAAATATTTTTTACAGGGGGGTTTTTTAAAAATACTTTTTTACAGGCTGGGGTCGCTCTCAGGGGTCGGGTAAACCGGGTGTGTGGCTGAAGGAAATATACAGGGTGTCCCAGAAATAAGTACAAATATTTTAACTGGTAGTATAGTTCAACCCCAGAAACACGCCTATGAGGTTTTTTTCGCGAAAAAAAAATGTTGAAAATTTAAAATTTTTCTTGACATTTTCCGGAAAATTTGAAAAACTTTTTAGTGCCACTTGTTTATTCACCTGAAATTTCTCTACGGTGTATCTAAACCTTGCAGTGTTGCAACCTCCTATGTTATCCACATTCTACATAGTAAAAATTCTTCATTTATAAATTCATAGACAAAAATCTACTCAAAAAATTAGGAATATTCGTCGGGCTGTTTTCGATATATTGAATTCTGAATTACGATAAACATTTTAGAAATTTCTTTTTTATGACCTTATTAGTAATCAATTCGTTTGTGTTTTGTTTGTTTTCACGTTTTTCTGTTTTATTTTTAAAATTTAATAAGAATTTGAATTTGTTGAAACTACGGCAACGTTGCTTAACATCGTATGACGCAAGCCCGCCACGACGGCGCGGCGCCTCAAAGGAGCTAAGGAGCTAAGTTGACCGCGGCACTTTTGGCAGACGGTTCGGCTGTCAATGAAATTCTTGAAATACATCGAAAAAATTGCGAAAAAACAAAATACGTATTTAAAATTGTTGAGTGAAACATGTATTTTCTTGCATTGAAAGTAGTTCGTAAAGTGGCGACAAGAGACAATAATTCTCAACATTTATTCATTCAGAAAGGTATTCAAAGTAATGTGCGTTTTTCAAGGTGTTTTGTAAATCAGTGGTTCAAATTGTGATTAAGCCTATATGGAAAGAATGTGTTAGAAATGGGGACTGTTATTTTAGTAGTTATTATAATAGCATGTACAAGTAAAGCAGCACAGTGAAGTGTATTTTAATTAAGTGGGTATCAAAAAAGACTGCCAACTGTCACAGTTACATCGATCTGTCATAAGCATCTTTTTTTAATGTTGGGTAAGTTTTTTTTTATTTACTTTCTGTAATAATATCACAGTATTAGAAATGCAATGGGCACCTCTGCAATCTCTGCCAAACTCCTCAGGTGCGTGGATTTTAGTGACTTTTTTTAAAGCAATATACTTTCTGTGTCCATAATGCGCAACACAGGCGTCCAAAATATACCCTGAGATGTGTGGGCTTGATCCGGGTAATTGGATGGTGTTGGTGATATCTGCCGGCGCGGCGTTCTCAAAATGTTGCGATTATTTTTATAAAATTTCAAAGTTAAATAACTCGGTTATTTTCAATTTATTTTAAAAATGGTAAAGAGAAAATATGTTTCTTTTGGCCAGATCTACCACCCCTTAAAATATTTGCACTTATTTCTGGGACACCCTGTATATTATACTCCAGAAATCTGATCTAAGGCTTAGTCCGATCTTGTCGTGTTAAGCCATACCAAAAATTCCACACGTGTTACAAAATAGCTAGCAACTTGTTACATGCCACAAAATAGCGAGCAACTTGTTACAAAACCATATAAATTATATATCACTGTAATCACAAAACTTCAAGCTATTTCCATGTTGTAAAGAAATTTTAAATTGTATCTTTAGTTTCGAGAATTTTTACCCAACTAAGGAATATTTTTGTTGAACGTTTGACCATCAAATCTTCAAAATAGAGTTGTCTAAAGATGTAGCTGAGGAGAGCGCCGGATAGTAGGTATAATCCTTTATCTTTACCGCTTCCTGGGTCTTCATGTGTGTAAAAATATACCTAGCCAGTTTTTTACATAAAACGTTAATGCCGATAGCTTAAATTTGGAATTTTTTTTTTTTTAAATTAAGATTTTTTTTTCGTGAACGATATTTTCACCACAATTAAAGGAAAAAAATTGGTGGCACCCCCTATGTATACTGGCCTTGTAGGTTTTCGAAGTTTATAGAATTTAGAATGAGTGGGAGGGGGGTTAATCACTTCGAGCCTTACAGATCCATTGTGCCCCACCTTTTCTTGATATCATAACCTCATCATACAGTCCCAGGGCTTGACAAAAGCCAGTATCTGGGGCGGTTTTAATAGAGGGTAAAGTTCTCCATCTCCAATATCAGTCGTAACAAAATTCATGGCACGAAATAGTTGTTCGTCTCGGCGGACTCAGTGAAAAGGTGTAAGCTGAATTGTTTCCCCATGCTTCCCCACAGAATCTGCCTTCGCCGTTTCTTCTTAGTTTCAAATTCTTAGCTGAGGTGTTCATTGAGGAAACAGTGTCCTGTTAAAAAAACCCCCGTGACAAATCCCGAAGATTGTTCTTAACTCAGACCCAGGAAGATCTGTGATTTTTCTTGATCATAAGCCTTCAGAACTTTCTTCGAGTGTCTTAGACATTGCAAGATTTCCATTCCAGGTTTGCGGATGGAATCTTCCAAGTTTCTTGAGTTCCGCCTTGATTTGGTTACCACTTGGAAAGCAAAACAGTTCTGGTCCATTTAGTGGAGTGTTCGCTCCTTTCCTAGCTAGATTATTTGCTTTTTGCGCAATTGCCTTCTATCCTTTGGTGAGCAGGCATCCAGTGTAGGAGAACTTTGTTTTCTTTGCCTAATTTATTCAGCTTCTCTATGCATTCTTTGACCGATTTCGAATTTATTGATACTGAGTTTATCGCCTTTAACGCTGCTTGTGACTTATCAGCATAAGATGTCCTATGCTCTGTTTCCGATAGTTCCTATCTTAAACTAAAGTTGTACACGCATATAATCTCGATAGCGAAAGATTTCTGCCTGTAGGTACAGTTAAGATGCCGATTCTGTTCGGAGTATATATACTAGGCTCTCCCGGCCCAAACACTCCGATCTGTTCCCGTATTGGTTTTGGAAGCATCAGTATGCCATGTTATGGTATGGTCCTTTTAACTGCTGGGCCAAAGCGTTTCGCTCTTACCCCAATAACTTTTTTGCTCAATACTACATTGATATGTTTGTCAAAGTTGTGTACAGTTCTTGGCATATTCGTCCATTGGGGAGTTTGCAGAAGTGGTAATTGTCCCTTTTTGAGGGGTGTTCCAAGCTCCTGATCTGACAATTCTCCCAGTACTAATTCCGTTAGGGACCATTCTAATCATTGGTCGCATTGGCATATCTACCAATGACAATGTGCATTGGTGTTAGGTCTAGAATCTAGAATGACCTCCATTGCTGCTTGTGGACAGGTTCTCATGGCTCCTGTGATGCAAACACACGCTAGTCTCTGGACTTTGCATAGTTTTAGCCTTGCCGTCCGTTGCTTCCTAGTTTTTTGTGTACAGCAGGCAACTGCTCATAAGTAATTCAATTGGGTCTTACTATCATGGTATACATCCAGCGCAAAAAAAACAAACTTAACCAAACTTAAAAATAAAAAAAAAAAAAAAGCATTTTGGGACATATTATATTTTGACGGATAAATAACAGTCTCTTCAGTAAGAGACGTAACAGGGATCTAATTGTAAAAAATATTTTGTCTGAGTAAGGGGTTCGTGTTTATATAAACAATCATCAAAAATTCTACTTTATTATGACGATTAAACCTTTGACAATTCATATTTACCTATAGCCCCTTATCGTAAAACGTCATGAATTCTCCTGTTTGTCAACATTCCTATACATACGATTAAGCACGTTCAGGCACTACGAAACTCCGCAAAAATCAGAATTGCGGTCAACAGAAAATAAAACAAAAAATGTAGGAGCGTGGCTTTGCCATATAATAGATACTTTGGCCGTCCATATAAAACTTTTTATATGGAACTTTTATATATTTTTTTAAATGTAAAATGAAAACGTTACCTATAAAATGTAACTCTCACGTTAGTTTTTATGAAAAAACATTATGCAGTCACTATTTTATTTAAAAATGTATTCCGGCACAATAATTTTATGAATAATAAAATAGATAGAGATTTCTGTGTGAGCTCATAAATTTCAAACATATTTTTGCAGTGAAATTCAAACAAACAAACGGGTGGTTCTCTTTCAAGTGTTAATTTTTTATCGAGATTTTAATATGTGTTTCTATAATCAACAGGGTGTGTCAAAAAAATCGACTTTTTTCTTTCACTTTATACTCTGAAAAAAGGTTGGTAGACACCTCAAAAAAATTCTCCAAGTATGAGCTCTGAAAGGTCCTCCACCTTTCAGTTTTCTATTTTTTACTTATTGTTAGAAAGAAAAATGTATATCTCGGTATCTACTAGTGCGCGGTGGGGTAAAAATGGGACATTTTACATATCTTTTTATTTTTTTCCCATTAAAAAAATACCTAAAGTGGGTAAAATTTCACGGGAAATTACATTATATTCACCAAATGTCATAAAAACAAGTATTTCTTTAATAAAAAAAATAAATTCTTCCGTGTCCCTCATTTTTTTCCTGTCGTTGGGGCAAAAATAAGACATGCTTGGAAAAAAATGAGACAGGGTCATAGATTTAGTAAGAACAGATATCACATTGTGCATTTTAACCCGATCAAACAATGGTAGGTTGACTACGTACTGTAAAAACCAACTGAGATAGAGAAGGCGACATTGCCACATCTCAAATTTGCGCCTATCTGCTTAGTTTGATTTGCAGAAAAGGTGACTTTTAAAAAACCTTCACGCGGATATCAATAAATTCAATTCTTTAATTAATTATAGTATTAATTTTTAAAAGAAGCATGCGTAATAATATGTTATTAACCAGAGGATATATGCGTT